AAAAACCAAAAAAAAAAAAAAAAAAATTAAAGAAAAAAAGCGAGGTGATGATGGCTGAGCAAATAAAGGTGTTTCCTGCTAAAGGAAAGTCACAAGGTGGAAAGAGAGTTGTGTCCACAAGTGTCCTCTGTGTTGCCCATACCAACACCACCTGCCATAAATAAATAAATGTATCTTTTGAATCTTTTTGTTTGTTTGTTTCTCTCTGTAGCTTCGGAGCCTGTCCCAGAACTAGCTCTTGTGCCAGGTTAGCCTTGAACTCACAGAGATGCGCCTGCCTCTGCCTCCCCCCCCCCCCAAATACTGAGATTAAAGGCATGACCCACACCTTTGATTGAAGGATTTTTGCTAAACATAACAAGCAAAAATAACCAGAGTAACTTTTGTTTAGAAACACATAATGAATATGAAAGACCCCCAGTGTGGAAAGACTCTCACTCAAGTCTCCGCATAACACGACTCCTCCCCCCCACAACCCCCCAGTAACTCACAAGAGACAGTCCTTGCTGCAATCACACAAGGTTTATTGACAGGTTACCAGTGCACTGGGGCCAAGGAGACTCTAACCCACGCAGGGGAGGAGTTCGACCCAGTAACTGGGAGAAGGGGTTCTTAAGGGAAGAAACCGCAGCCCAGTAATCCGAAGGGAGTAGGGAGGGCGGCAGAAAAAATTTCGAAAATACCGGTGATGATCACAAGGGGGCAACTCCCTGTTTCTCAAGACTATTCTCAAGATTACAATCTAAGTTTATCTTCAGCTAGTTCCTGAAACAGAGTTAGTAAACGGGCTAGTCACAGATTTCTCATTCTTCTCTCCCTGCTTAGATTTTATGCTCAATTTTTTCCTGCTGGGCGGGGGGTCTGGATTTATCCAGGTCTTTTAAATACTAATATTAGTATTTAAAAAATTCAAACAGCCCCATTAGTCCTCGGAGCTCCCGCTCTGGGTCGGGCCCATGTTCCCGCTGTGGGTCGGACCGATGCTCCCCCTCTGGGTCGGGCCGACTCTGGATCATTTCTCGGCTCCTGGATGACGCAGCACAGGACCTCGCTGAAAATTGCACCGAAGATCATCATTATGGCCGTGCCAATGATCACTGCTACAGTGATGTAAAACTTGCTGTTGAAGACATCACTGATGGCTTCTGGGCAGGACTTAACCTGGAAGGTTTCAAGAACTTGCTTTTGGGGGCAGATGTCCGAGATAAACTGTTCCTCGCCTCCTGCTAGGCCACAGCAGTTCAAGGCCACGTGGATGGCTTTGAGTGTCTCCCGCTGGGGCCCATCCAGGCTCTT